ACGTCAGGTTTGAGGACGGGTTTGACGTCAGGTTTGAGGTCAGGTTTGAGGTCAGGTTTGAGGTCAGGTTTGACGTCAGGTTTGAGGTCAGGTTTGACGTCAGGTTTGACGTCAGGTTTGCCGTCAGGTTTGAGGTCAGGTTTGAGGTCAGGTTTGAGGTCAGGTTTGAGGTCAGGTTTGACGTCATGTTTGACGTCAGGTTTGAGGTCAGGTTTGAAGTCAGGTTTGACGTCAGGTTTAACGTCATCAGATTTGAGGTCAGGTTTGAGGTCAGGTTTGAGGTCAGGTTTGAGGTTAGGACTGACGTCAGGTTTGAAGTCAGGTTTGACGTCAGGTTTAACGTCAGGTTTGATGTCTGGTTTGAGGTCAGGTTTGACGTTTTGAGGTAAGGTTTGAGGTCAGGTTTGAGGTCAGGTTTGAGGTCAGGTTTAAGGTCAGGTTTGAGGTCAGGTTCGAAGTCAGGTTTGACGTCAGATTTGAGGTCAGGTTTGACGTTTCGAGGTCAGGTTTGAGGTCAGGTTTGAGGTCAGGTTTGAGGTCAGGTTTGACGTCAGGTTTGAGGTCAGGTTTGACATCAGGTTTGATGTCAGGTTTGAGGTCAGGCTTGAGGTCAGGTTTGAGGTCAGGTTTGACGTCAGGTTTGAGGTCAGGTTTGAGGTCAGGTTTGAGGTCAGGTTTGACGTCATGTTTGACGTCAGGTTTGACATCAGGTTTGAGGTCAGGTTTGAGGTCAGGTTTGAAGTCAGGTTTGACGTCAGGTTTAACGTCAGATTTGAGGTCACGTTTGACGTTTCGAGGTCAGGTTTGAGGTCAGGTTTGAGGTCAGGTTTGAGGTTAGGACTGACGTCAGGTTTGAGGTCAGGTTTGATGTCAGGTTTGCGGTCAGGTTTGAGGTCAGGTTTGACGTTTTGAGGTCAGGTTTGAGGTCAGGTTTGAGGTCAGGTTTAAGGTCAGGTTTAAGGTCAGGTTTGAAGTCAGGTTTGACGTCAGATTTGAGGTCAGGTTTGACGTTTCGAGGTCAGGTTTGAGGTCAGGTTTGAGGTCAGGTTTGACGTCAGGTTTGAGGTCAGGTTTGACGTCAGGTTTGATGTCAGGTTTGAGGTCAGGTTTGAGGTCAGGCTTGACGTTTTGAGGTAAGGTTTGAGGTCAGGTTTGAGGTCAGGTTTTAGGTCAGGTTTGAGGTCAGGTTCAAGGTCAGGTTTGAGTCAGGTTTGTCGTCAGGTTTAACGTCAGATTTGAGGTCGGGTTTGACGTTTCGAGGTCAGGTTTGAGGTCAGGTTTGAGGTTAGGTTTGAGGTTAGGTTTGACGTCAGGTTTGAGGTTAGGTTTGAGGTTAGGTTTGAGGTCAGGTTTGAAGTAAGTTTGACTTCAGGTTTGAGGTCAGGTTTGAGGTCAGGTTTGACGTCAGGTTTGAGGTCCGGTTTGATGTCAGGTTTGAGGTCAGGTTTGAGGTCAGGTTTGAGGTCAGGTTTGAGGTCAGGTTTGAGGTCAGGTTTGACGTCAGGTTTGAGGTCAGTTTTGACATCAGGTTTGAGGTCAGGTTTGACGTCAGGTTTGGGGTCAGGTTTGAGGTCCGGTTTGAGGTCAGGTTTGAGGTCAGGTTTGACGTCAGGTTTGAGGTCACGTTTGAGGTCAGGTTTGAGGTCAGGTTTGCGATCAGGTTGCGGTCAGGTTTGACGTCAGGTTTGAGGTCAGGTTTGTGGTCAGGTTTGAGGTCAGGTTTGACATCAGGTTTGAGGTCAGGTTTGTGGTCAGGTTTGACGTCATGTTTGACGTCAGGTTTGAGGTCAGGTTTGAAGTCAGGTTTGACGTCAGGTTTAACGTCAGATTTGAGGTCAGGTTTGAGGTCAGGTTTGAGGTCAGGTTTGAGGTCAGGTTTGACGTCAGGTTTGAGGTCAGGTTTGACGTCAGGTTTGACGTCAGGTTTGCCGTCAGGTTTGAGGTCAGGTTTGAGGTCAGGTTTGAGGTCAGGTTTGACGTCAGGTTTTACGTCAGGTTTGAGGTCAGGTTTTAGGTCAGGTTTGAGGTCAGGTTTGAGGTCAGGTTTGAGGTCAGGTTTGAGGTCAGGTTTGAGGTCAGGTTTGAGGTCAGGTTTGACGTCATGTTTGAGGACAGGTTTGACGTCAGGTTTGAGGTCAGGTTTGAGGTCAGGTTTGACGTCAGGTCAGGTTTGAGGTCAGGTTTGAGGTCAGGTTTGACGTCAGGTTTGAGGTCAGGTTTGACGTCAGGTTTGACGTCAGGTTTGCCGTCAGGTTTGAGGTCAGGTTTGAGGTCAGGTTTGAGGTCAGGTTTGACGTCAGGTTTTACGTCAGGTTTGAGGTCAGGTTTCAGGTCAGGTTTGAGGTGAGGTTTGAGGTCAGGTTTGAGGTCAGGTTTGAGGTCAGGTTTGAGGTCAGGTTTGAGGTCAGGTTTGACGTCATGTTTGACGTCAGGTTTGAGGTCAGGTTTGAAGTCAGGTTTGACGTCAGGTTTAACGTCAGATTTGAGGTCAGGTTTGAGGTCAGGTTTGAGGTCAGGTTTGAGGTTAGGACTGACGTCAGGTTTGAGGTCAGGTTTGATGTCAGGTTTGAGGTCAGGTTTGAGGTCAGGTTTGACGTTTTGAGGTAAGGTTTGAGGTCAGGTTTGAGGTCAGGTTTGAGGTCAGGTTTAAGGTCAGGTTTGAGGTCAGGTTCGAAGTCAGGTTTGACGTCAGATTTGAGGTCAGGTTTGACGTTTCGAGGTCAGGTTTGAGGTCAGGTTTGAGGTCAGGTTTGACGTCAGGTTTGAGGTCAGGTTTGAGGTCAGGTTTGAGGTCAGGTTTGACGTCATGTTTGACGTCAGGTTTGACATCAGGTTTGAGGTCAGGTTTGAGGTCAGGTTTGAAGTCAGGTTTGACGTCAGGTTTAACGTCAGATTTGAGGTCAGGTTTGACGTTTCGAGGTCAGGTTTGAGGTCAGGTTTGAAGTCAGGTTTGAGGTTAGGACTGACGTCAGGTTTGAGGTCAGGTTTGATGTCAGGTTTGAGGTCAGGTTTGAGGTCAGGTTTGACGTTTTGAGGTCAGGTTTGAGGTCAGGTTTGAGGTCAGGTTTAAGGTCAGGTTTGAGGTCAGGTTTGAAGTCAGGTTTGACGTCAGATTTGAGGTCAGGTTTGACGTTTCGAGGTCAGGTTTGACGTTTCGAGGTCAGGTTTGAGGTCAGGTTTGAGGTCAGGTTTGACGTCAGGTTTGAGGTCAGGTTTGACGTCAGGTTTGATGTCAGGTTTGAGGTCAGGTTTGAGGTCAGGTTTGACGTTTTGAGGTAAGGTTTGAGGTCGGGTTTGAGGTCAGGTTTTAGGTCAGGTTTGAGGTCAGGTTTGACGTCATGTTTGACGTCAGGTTTGAGGTCAGGTTTGAAGTCAGGTTTGACGTCAGGTTTAACGTCAGATTTGAGGTCAGGTTTGAGGTCAGGTTTGAGGTCAGGTTTGAGGTTAGGACTGACGTCAGGTTTGAGGTCAGGTTTGATGTCAGGTTTGAGGTCAGGTTTGACGTTTTGAGGTAAGGTTTGAGGTCAGGTTTGAGGTCAGGTTTGAGGTCAGGTTTAAGGTCAGGTTTGAGGTCAGGTTTGAGGTCAGGTTTGACGTCAGATTTGAGGTCAGGTTTGACATCAGGTTTGATGTCAGGTTTGAGGTCAGGCTTGAGGTCAGGTTTGAGGTCAGGTTTGACGTCAGGTTTGAGGTCAGGTTTGAGGTCAGGTTTGAGGTCAGGTTTGAGGTCAGGTTTGACGTCATGTTTGACGTCAGGTTTGACATCAGGTTTGAGGTCAGGTTTGAGGTCAGGTTTGAAGTCAGGTTTGACGTCAGGTTTAACGTCAGATTTGAGGTCAGGTTTGACGTTTCGAGGTCAGGTTCGAGGTCAGGTTTGAGGTCAGGTTTGAGGTTAGGACTGACGTCAGGTTTGAGGTCAGGTTTGATGTCAGGTTTGAGGTCAGGTTTGAGGTCAGGTTTGACGTTTTGAGGTCAGGTTTGAGGTCAGGTTTGAGGTCAGGTTTAAGGTCAGGTTTGAGGTCAGGTTTGAAGTCAGGTTTGACGTCAGATTTGAGGTCAGGTTTGACGTTTCGAGGTCAGGTTTGACGTTTCGAGGTCAGGTTTGAGGTCAGGTTTGAGGTCAGGTTTGACGTCAGGTTTGAGGTCAGGTTTGACGTCAGGTTTGATGTCAGGTTTGAGGTCAGGTTTGAGGTCAGGTTTGACGTTTTGAGGTAAGGTTTGAGGTCAGGTTTGAGGTCAGGTTTTAGGTCAGGTTTGAGGTCAGGTTTAAGGTCAGGTTTGAGTCAGGTTTGTCGTCAGGTTTAACGTCAGATTTGAGGTCGGGTTTGACGTTTCGAGGTCAGGTTTGAGGTCAGGTTTGAGGTTAGGTTTGACGTCAGGTTTGAGGTTAGGTTTGAGGTTAGGTTTGAGGTCAGGTTTGAAGTAAGTTTGACTTCAGGTTTGAGATCAGGTTTGAGGTCAGGTTTGACGTCAGGTTTGAGGTCAGGTTTGATGTCAGGTTTGAGGTCAGGTTTGAGGTCAGGTTTGAGGTCAGGTTTGAGGTCAGGTTTGACGTCAGGTTTGAGGTCAGTTTTGACATCAGGTTTGAGGTCAGGTTTGACGTCAGGTTTGGGGTCAGGTTTGAGGTCCGGTTTGAGGTCAGGTTTGAGGTCAGGTTTGACGTCAGGTTTGAGGTCAGGTTTGAGGTCAGGTTTGAGGTCAGGTTTGCGATCAGGTTGCGGTCAGGTTTGACGTCAGGTTTGAGGTCAGGTTTGTGGTCAGGTTTGAGGTCAGGTTTGACATCAGGTTTGAGGTCAGGTTTGTGGTCAGGTTTGCGGTCAGGTTTGACGTCAGGTTTGAGGTCAGGTTTGAGGTCAGGTTTGAGGCCAGGTTTGTGGTCAGGTTTGAGGTCAGGTTTGACGACGACAGATTTGAGGTCAGTTTTGACGTCAGGTTTGAGGTTCATTTGGGCGGTGGATGGTTGTGCGAGGCTCACCAGGGTGGTAAGTCCAGCTTCTCACCAGAGCGGAGTGTCTGAGAAGGTGTTGCGCGTGCTAGAACCACCAGCAGCAGTGCCATCACCACCTGCACCACAATCAGCATCATGAGCGTTAGCATGGTTACCACCAGCAGCTCTCGTACTTTCCCACTGCATTCTTGCTGCCGAACTGGAATGGGCAGAGGAAGGAGATGAGCTGAGGAAGGAGATGAGCTGAGGAACAATTGAAAGAGGCAGAGAGAGGGAGTGAGCTAGCGAATGAAACGAGCAACGGTATCGCATAGTGAATGTACGAGTGTGAAACGAGTGTGCAAACGAGTGGTTGAATGACCCACTGTCGTGTGGAATTTCGTTTTTGGAGTGAATGCGCCATCACATCACCATCACCAGCAGCACCAATGCCATTCGCAGTAGCACCCAGCGTAATCAGTTGCAGCACCCTCGCCATCAACATCAGCACCAGGGACAAATGCACCCGCGCCATCAATAGTAACACAACACCAGCGTCATCAACGGCAGCACACCCGCTCAAACCATCGTACCCACCCACAGACACTGAGTTCGCTCTGCTGAGATGGGATGGGTAGAGGAAGGGTGGCACATGAAGGGCAGATGATAGCGGCTTGGAGAGGCAGTGATTGAGAGAACGCAGGGAAGAATGCGAAAGCAAGAGTACAGAATCAAGGATGAACACAGATTGCGAAATGAGTGTGCGATGCAGTGAAACCAGAGAGGCGAAAAGTGAAAAGAGAGAGGCGATGGTAGCCCACGACACAAGGGTGGCGATGCCAGCACCCCTCTCCGCAGCACCCCTCCAGACCGCACCCTTCCAGGCTTTGCTGCTCACTCCTTTTGGCCTGAAATAAGTGTGAGAATAGGTGATCGGGACACAGGAGGACGCAGGAAGTATATTTAAGGACGGAAGGCAGCAGTGGAAGAGGAACCGCCAGCAAGGGAGTGAAACAACGCAGGAAATACTGGAAAGAAGAGACAAGTGAAAGCAATGTGGAAGGATGCAGAGAGAAGAGAGGCGATGGTAGGCCACAGCACAAGGGCGGCGAGCTAGCAGGCAAGGGGTTCGAGGTAAGAAGGGGACGCGAGCATGAGCATGAATGCATTCTATTCTATCCTCCTAGGACCCTAGTATGAGCTCTGCCGCCCGAGTGCCATGTGCTACCATCGCCTAAACGACGCTCGTCTCTCTCTCTCAACTTTTGATCGCTCCCATTCGAAAGTGACCTCATTTGTTTCGAGCACGCGGTGACGGAAGAATGCGGTACAAAAGTGGGCAATGATAAACACGAAGCAGAAGCGGTAAGGATGGCAAGGGCGAAGGGAGAGGGAACTTAGCCGTATGGGGGTGCTTGCAGGAAAGTGACGTCAAGCTTTAAGGAGGCTCGCACATTGCTGTGATTGCCTGGCGTGCGTCATCCCACCGCCCTCCCTCTCCGCACCACGTTGCCATAGCACCGGACGAGATGGGAAGGAGAGCAAGAAAACAGAGCAGGGGAAAGGAACCCAAGTAGTCAGTAGAAGCATGAAAGTAGTGGAATGCATGCAAGGAGGCAGAGATAACAAGAACGACGAGAAGAGGAAACGAAAGTTGAAGATCAAAAGCACGTGGCACTGTGACGCTGTGAAAGGGGAGGCGATGGTAGCACACAGCACTACGGCGCCGAGCTAGCAGGAAAATTAGGAAGGGACGCAGCATGATTATGAATGCATTCTACTCTAACCCCCTACGACTCTAGTATGAGCTCAAGTTGCCCCAGTGCCATGCGCTACCATCGCCACGCGTCAGAGAACCCCCAACTCAACTTTTGAACCCTTCCTAAGCGGAAATCAAGTTTTAATTAGAGCATGCAGTGAGAGAACAATGCGCTACAGGAATGAATCAAAGACAGAAAGCGATAAGGATGGCAAGGGGGTGAATAGAGGGGTAATGAGGGGACTTCGCAGCGGTACGACGGGTTGAGCGACGGAAGCATCAGCAGTTGTTGCCAGCAGCAGAGTGACTCCCATCATCAACGGCACTCCCAGCAGCAGCCCTCCCAGCAGCAGCAGCAGCGCCGTGAGGGAGTGGCGTGGTCAGCAGGGCATGCAGGACTCAGGCCGTACGTCATCCCACTGCCCTCCCTCCGCTTTGACCCTGCGACAAGGAAATGGGTTGGAGAGAGAAGGCAGAGAGGAAGGGAATAAAGAATCTGGTCAAGTAGGAGCAAGCATTGAAAGGAAGGCAGAAACAAAACGAAAAATGCAGAAGAACAGCAAGCAAGCTGAACAACACGAAAGGCAATGGTAGCACAAGGCACTAGGGCAGCGAGCTAGCATGCGAGGGTGGACTGGGGTAAGAGAGAGACGCGAGCATGTGTATGAGTGCATTCTATTCTAGCCCCCTACAACTCTAGTCTAGTGTGAGCTCAAGCCGCCCCGGTGCCATGTGCTACCATCGACATGCGGAACTGACGTTTTGATTTCGAGAACGCGCCGAGAAAGCAAAGCGACAAGAAAATGAACCAAAGACAGAAAGCGATAAGGATGGCAAGGGGGTGAATAGAGGGGTTATGAGGGTACTTAGCAGCGGTACGACGGGTTGAGCGACGGAAGCAGCAGCAGCTGTTGCCAGCAGCAGAGTGACTCCCATCATCAACAGCACACCCAGCAGCCCTCCCAGCAGCAGCAGCAGCGCCGTGAGGGAGTGGCGTGGTCAGCAGGGCATGCAGGACTCAGGCCGTGCGTCATCCCACTGCCCTCCCTCCGCTCTGACCCTGGGACAAGGAAATGGGTTGGAGAGAGAAGGCAGAGAGGAAGGGAATAAAGAATCTGGTCCAGTAGGAGCAAGCATTGAAAGGAAGGCAGAAACAATGATGAAAACGAGAATTCCTTTAGCTAAAAATGCAGAAGAAGCAAGCAAGCTGAACAACACGAAAGGCAATGGTAGCGCAAGGCACCGGGGCAGCGAGCTAGCATGCGAGGGTGGACTGGGGTAAGAGAGAGACGCGAGCATGTGTATGAGTGCATTCTATTCTAGCCCCCTACAACTCTAGTCTAGTGTGAGCTCAAGCCGCCCGGTGCCATGTGCTACCATCGCCATGCGGAACTGACGTTTTGATTTCGAGCACGCGCCGAGAAAGCAAAGCGACAAGAAAATGAACCAAAGACAGAAAGCGATAAGGATGGCAAGGGGGTGAATAGAGGGGCTATGAGGGGACTTAGCAGCGGTACGACAGGTTGAGCGGCGGAGCAGGAGCAGTTGTTGGCAGCAGCAGAGTGACTCCCATCATCAATGGCACTCCCAGCAGCAGCACTCCCAGAAGCAGCAGCACATCGTTCGGAGATTCCTCAGCAGCGGTCGAAGCTGCATGCACGCGTCTCGTCCTCCTCGCTGGCAGCGCTGTGTCGCTCCCTCTCGCTCCTTGGCGTCACCCAAAGGGCGCAGGGCGGGAGAGCACGCATGGAGGAAGAAATCAAGGGGGTTGACGCCAGCAGCTCCGCCTCCTCGCCTCTCGTGCTGCCAGCAGCCTTGCCCAAAGCGCTCCGCCTGCAATGTCCGCCTCGTCCGCCCAAGCGGGTGGTCAGCAGGGCAGCAGCAGGCAGCCACATGCCAGTGGCTGCCAGCCATGCGTCATCCCGCGGCGCGCACGCCCAAATGCTCTCCCGTTGCATCCGCTCCCGTTGAGTGAGCTGTAATCAGCAGGGCGGGCAGCAGCCGCTGTGCCTGCCGTGCGTCATCCCACTGCCGCCCTGCATGAGGAACAACAAGAAAGAGAGAGCACAAAGAGCGACAAACAGCGAGTGAATCGACGGACGGCGAACAAGAAAGGAACAAGCAAGTCACGGCAAGAGTTAATGCAGGAAACAGACAAATAAAAAACGGCATGAGTGGTGTGGGACGTGGTGGGAGGGGGAAGGCGCATGGCGACAGTGGCCCACGGCACTAGAGCAGTGAGCTGAGCCGGCGAGGGCGGACTGGGGTAGAGAGGGACGCACGCATGGCATGAATGCACTCCCTCTCCCACTCATCTCTCCCACCGCTCCCACTATACTGCACTCTACATGAGCTCTGCTGCCATAGCACCACGGACCACCACCACCATGCGCCCAGCAAGTGAAAGAGACGGAATAAAACAGCGAGGGGGGAGGTGAGGTGAAGACGGGGGGGGGCAAAGAGGTGACTTAGCCACAAGAGAAGTGTTGAAGCTGCTTCTGGGACGTGGTATGATCATTGCCACATCATCGCGTCCGGTTTGTCACCAGCATCCGCACAGTGTCGCGCTGTTGGTCGCCGTCGTCCACACACGGTCGCACGCGGTAAATCGCCATCATCCGCACAATGTCGCACACGGTTCGTCGCATGCCGTTCGTCGCACATCGTCGCATGCGGCATGCCCCCAGCACACGCACAACGTCGCATGAGGAACGTCGCACGCGGTAAGTAGCCATCATCCGCACACCATCGCACGGGAAACGTCGCACGCGGTTCGTCTCCAGCATCCGCACGCCGTGCACATTGGCAATGTCTCACGCGGTACATCGTATGCTGCTCGTCGCAAATCATCGCAGCCGCCAGCATCTGCACGCCGCACGCGGAACATCGCACGCGGTTGGCAGCCGTCTTCCGCACACAGTCGCACTCGCCATCATTCGCACACCGTCGCACAGGCAACGTCGCACGCGGTTCGACGCCGTCTTCCGCACAACGTCGCACGCGGAACGTCGCATGCAGTTCGTCGCCGTCTTCCGCACACTGTTGCACGGGAAACGTCGTGCGCGGTTCGTCCCCAGCATCTGCACAACGTCGCACGCGGTACGTCGCATGCCGTGGTCGCACGTCGTGTGCGCCATCGCCAGCATCCGCTCAACGCTGCACGCGGAAAGTCGCACGCGGTAAGTCGCCGTCTTCCGCAGACGGTCGCACGCGGTAAGTCGCCATTGTGCACACCGTCGCACAGGGAACGTCGCACGCGATTCGTCGCCATCTTCCGCACATCCTCGCATGCGGTACGCCGCGAGCATCCACACAACGTCGCACGCGGAACGTCGTACGCGGTTGGTCGCCATCACCCGCATGGTTGCTCGTGGTTCGAGAGCCGCTCGCCGATTTCCGCGCACGTTACTACTAGTAGTAGCTGCTCACCGCTCGCCATTCGACAGTCGCCGATCGCCGCTATCCGCTCTACTTTCGCCGTTCACGTCAGGTCAGCACCGACGACGGCCTCGCAACCTCTTACTAGGCGACGGCGGTCCCCGTGTCGCCGTGAGTCAGTGTGACGCCGGATGCCGGTCGCCTTGATACGTGAACTTCACTGGCCGAACTATCCTCGAAGAAGGCCGTTAATCGCTTGCCAGTATATCACTTATGCAGGCGACGATAGATATGGAGCTCGGCGAATCCGCGTATGGAGTTCCAACGGGTTTTATTGCGAAGATTCGAGTTCCGCCGAAGATCCCAGCGGAATTCGGTCGACGGAGCCGAATTGCCAGGGTCGACGGACAGGGGTCTGACGAGGCGGGCAACTGACGCGCGTGCGGGCCCGCCAGCCTGGCCCAGGGCTGGGCCGAGCGCACGACCGCCGCCCCGCAACCCCTCTCCGAAAGTGAACAGGGTCCCACGTTACCGGGTGGGGGCGGCGAAGAGGCGACCCAATCGAGCGAGGGGGAGTTACCCTCGCGCGAAGGCAGCCCTCCCGTCCCCGCTGCCCGCGAAGTCCTACTGACCCTCGCGAACTGACCGGACGGGCAGGCGAGGGCCACGCGAAATTCGGGTGCTCCCCTCGGGAAGCTCGACAATGTCGCGAACCGTCGGGGTGACGCCACGTGCTCGCCCGTCATTTCGCATCGTATGCATGCGACATTTCGTACCCGCCGAAAATCGAGCGAAATTTGTGTCGCTCGCACCGGGCCGCACGGTTTTCGCGACCCGCTACGAAATCGACACGTGGTGCCAAAACGTCGCACCGCGCGCATGCGAACTTGAGTCCCCTGGCCGACCGAGGCCAGGGGACGTGACGTCGACCTGTTGGCTCGGCGGCGAGGGTGCACTTGTGCCACGCCACTTGTGCATGAGCCCTGCCGAGCCAGGCACCACGGCCCCCCTGGGCGACGCTCAACCGGACCTGCGAGGCTCCGCCTGGCTTTTCTCTGTTGGAGTTGGACTGGCCCTTCATTTTATCGTTCTCGTTCTCTTTCTTAGGTTTTCCCAGCTCTGCGCCTTCCGTACTCCCACCGTTTCTTCCCTTAGCCTGTAGCATCCTCTTAGCCTGTAGCATCCTCGCTCTCCCCCCATGGCGGCAGACCCGAAAGCCGCCGAAGCGGCGCCGACCTCGTGCGACTTCCCCCTGTATCTAAACGTCGGTAGAGGACTTACAGCCAAGTTCGAGGAATACGACTACGCCGTTCTAACAAACCATATGCTAGAGTTTAACGCTCGTTGCTTGGGGCTAGGCCTCAAGTGAGTGTCTTATGGGGATATCGGCGTCGTCAAGTTTATTTCATGCTGGTCGAGCCCTAGCGGGGATTCAAGCGACCCGTCGTTTAGGTCGACGGACTCATGGTTTAGGGTTCAGGGAAGTCGATCACATAAGTGTCGCCGACGTTAGGTGTTTGGTCGGCATCGGCGCTGCGTTGTGCCGTAGTCATTCGGCTCCCGTCGAATCACCGCTCCGTCGTGCTAGGGCCGCAACAGTATTATCCGCCGTCGTCGCGAGCACCTACTCACGCACTCCTCCTAACCATGCATGCGTGCAGGCACGCTTGGTTGCGCGGAACGGATCAAAACGAGCGGCTGTGGTCGATCGGAGTCGGCCGTCTTCAGGCGTCGATGGGTCAGGGCGACCACACCTGCTTTGCGACGGTTTTTTACGCCGACGTGGCGGTTATCCCACTGACATCGAGGTGAGCTGGTTCGGGGTCGTCCCGCTTGTGCTGCAACCTGTGTCGGTGATCTGTTCTGAGCTATGTCGACGTGCCTTGTCTGTGCAGCATCACACCGCTTCCAGGATCACACTGCAGCGTCGTTGTCATCCTGTGCCCCGGCGACTTGTTGAAGGCATCGGGCCAGAAGATCAGGACCTCGATCCGGCACGCTGACCCGCAGACGGTGAAGGAGTGGCACATGAAAGAGGCGAAACGCGTGCTGGAGTAAGCTCCATAGTGTAGTCGACGCCGCCTGCGTAGTCAAAATGCGGAGCGTGCACCATGCCGACTGACCGTCTGTGCCATGCTTATGCAGGTTTTTCCGGGCGGCTGTTATGGCCGAGCTTCGGCGCGAAGGTAGGAAATGGGAGTGGGCGAAGCCGTCCGAGGAGGAGGTGCATGAGAGGCTCGCCGACTGCGACGCACCCCTTCGAGATGTGAGTTTCCAACGTTTTTGTTATTATATGGTGTCACATCCTTGCTCGATGGAACTGCCGATCCGTTCTTGCGCGACCCGACTGCCGATCGCGGTGCTGATTTTTGCGCTCGCCTATGTTGTATGCAGAAAGTGCCCGACACCGTCCGGGACGGGGACGCGGGCTCCGGCCTGCTAGCAATGAGCGCGTTGCTCTGGGTTGTGAGGCGGTTCGATCTCTTGACCGGCGCCCACCGTCGCAGTGTCACCAGCATGGACAAGGTTTATGTTACGGGGATGAAGGGGCTGCGGACTGAGATGGTAACCTTCATCAAGAAGCAAGTCGCGCTCATACGGTCGGGCCGAAACGTAGTTGCGGCCGACGCTTGTGACGACGACGGCGAGGAGGTTCCTTCGGCATCCCAAGCCGTAGGTGTCGGCCCCACCGTCGCTGATGCGCGTGGCACGTCGATCGGAAAGCCGGGAGGCGGCGTCGACGAGGACGAAGCGGCGGCAGGAAAGGGTGTGACCGGGACCGATGAGAGGCAGCAGGACGAGGTTGGCCATGAGGATGATGATCGGGTCCATGATCGTGAGGAGGAGGGGGGCTCGGAGGAGTCGACGTCGGGGTCGGAGTCGGAGTCGGGGTCGGAGGAGGAGCAGGAGGCTCAGGATCAGGAGGAGCAGCAGGCGAAGCAGCACGAGGAGCAGCAGCTAGAGGGGTAGCTGGAGGTGGAGGTGGAGGACGTGGAAATAGAGGATTACGGGGCTGAAGGAGCGGCGGAAACGGGAGAGAGAGCGGCGGAGGCCGAGCACGACAAGGGGGAGGGGAAGGGTGCGTCAGCGGAGCTCGGAATGGAGAAAGAGGAGGTCGGCGTGGAGGCGGCTCACGGGGGGAGTGGGATGGTCATGGTCGGCGATGGGACGGACGTTGTCGACCACGAGGCCGTTGGACATGGGGATATCGCCGCGGCCACGAAGCAGACGGGCGTGGAAGTGCCTACCGATGCCACCGCAGAGAAGGCCGGGGGGGAGCGGTCTAGGAAGAAGAAGTCGGCGAGCGGTCATCCCGGTTCCACCGCAGCTGGGCGGCAGGCGCGGCTGGACGTCGTCGAGCAGCTGAGAGGGGAGAACAGGCGATTGCGTGCCGACAATGCATGCCTTGAACGGCAGCTCGGTGAGCAGACGGGGCGGGTCGACGCGCTGGCGGCGGCCGTAGCTGGGCTCCTCGACAAGCTGAAAGATTTGACCGCCCAGGTCGGCGAAACCGACCGGAAATCGGTGGAGCGCCTCAAAGCGGCCACGTCGACCATGGCGACCACAATCACCGAGGGCCTCACCGACAACATGGATAGCGCAATTCAAGCGGGCAAGTCCTTTGCCGAGCTAGCGAGGCAGATGCTGCTGGATCTCGACGACCCCAAAGGACGAATGGCGGTCGCACGCGCGACCGCGGTGGACACTTTGGTCGAGCACGTGACGGCTGAGGTGGGTGAGGCGAGGAAGGGGTTGGAGGAGACGGTCATTAAATACATCAGCGCTGCGCAGACCAACATTGCCGCCGCCGTCTCTCCCCGCCTCGTCGTTCAGCAGCCGCCGCCGACCGCCCCAGCGCAGGCCTTGTCGGCCGAGTTCCTGAAGTCCTTCAAGGAGGATGTGCTGAAGGCGGTGACGGAGACCACGCAGCAGTCCTTTCTCGCCTCCGGATTGAAGATAATGACCGAGGTGGTCGGCACGGTGGCGACTGCTCGGCGTGAGTCGTCGCCGTCGGCAAACGACGCCGGCCAAGCGCAACCTACGGAGGCCAAGAAGCAGGGTCGGAAGAGGGGGGAAGGCGGCGGGGGGGGGCGACGGAGACGATTCGGCGGACGCGAAGCGGAGCAAGGGAGCCGGGGGGTCTCGCGTCGCCGGCGATGGGAGCAAGGGGGTCGGAGAAGGAGGCGGCGGGGGGGAGACGGAGACGATTCGGCGAGCGTGAGGCGGAGCAAGGGAGCGGGGGGGTCTCGCGTCGCCAGCCAAGGGAGCAAGGGAGCCGGTGAAGGCAGTTCGGGGAAGCATTCGGGGAAGAGCGTGGTCGACATCCTCAAAAAGCACTGGGCTACTGTTTCATCGCCCAGCACGGGCCATGGTGGTGGGGGTCCCGCCGACGAGCATGCCGCTGATGACGCACGGCCAAGGGCTCCGCCTGTGGTGGCCGAGAAGCCGCCACGATAGGGTAGCGGAGAGAAAAGGCTGAGCGGCAAGGAAAAGGCCGCCGCCAAAACGGCCCCAGGCGGTTCCGCGAAAACTGGCCAGGGGCCGACTGCCGGGGTAGCGGAGGCGTCAGCGGTTCCTCACCAGCCTCCCGCGGGTGCACGCCCTCCGACTGGAGCGTCTGCCGGGCGACCTGCCAACGTCCCGCGCCATGCCGACGTCCCGTCTGCCGACAAGGTTGGCCGCGCGGGGAAAGTGGCGGCAGTTGCTGACGCGCTAAAGGAGCAGCTGAGGCTCCTTGCCGGCCACAAGGCTGCTCAACAGCCTCCTCCCGCTGTCGACGTCCCATCGGCCGGTGTGCCACGTGTAGTGCCGGTCGTCGCCGCCCGTACTCCTGCAGACCCAAAGTCCGCGTTCCTGCGTGCCCAGTTGGGCGCACTAGCGTCGACTGCGCCAACTCAGAAGGCATCCGGCTCTGGCGATATGCCGTCGTCGGCGAATGTCGCACCACCCACCCCTGTGGCAGCTGAGGTTGAGAAAGCGGCGGAGAAGGGCGTTTGTGCCGCAATTGCCACCGGCGGCGGCCCTGTTGAGGAGGTCCCCCCCGACGCGGATATCGCTGCCATACAGGCCCATCTGGATGCCGCCAAACCCCGAACACTGGCCATCTCCAACACGGCACATGTGGAGCCTTCGGCGGGTTCCGTCGCCAGTTCAGCAGAGCCTAGTGCGATCGGTGAGGCTGTCGGTGAAGGAAAGGCGAAACGGAAGGGGAAGGCGGGCTCACAGAGGAAGACGCGGGAGAGGTCGGAGGTGAAGGCGGCGGATAGAGGGAAGGCGAAGGCGGCGGAGACGGCGGCGGACAAAGATGGTGGAGGCAATACGTTGATGAAAGGGAAAGCGGGGGAGCATCAGGAGAAGTCGCTCGGCGAGGGTACGTCGACGGGGAGGAAGGGGAAGGACAAGTCGGTCGGAGAAGGTACGTCGACGGGGAGAATGGGGAAGGAGAAGGCGGTCGGCGATGCTTTGTCGAAGGGGAGAAAGGGAAAGAAGAAGGCGGAGGAGGAGGATTAGGAGGTCGAGGAGGTGGAGGAGGTAGAGCATGAGGAGGAGGAAGAGGAGGAGGAGGAGGAGGAGGAGGAGGAGGAGGAGGAGGAGGAGGAGGAGGAGGAAGGAAAGGGCAAGGAGAGGAGGGGTCATGGCATCCGACACGACAGCTCGGGCGACGGGCAAGGGTGGGTCGGCGAGATTAAGGTGCACGGCATCAATCGATACATCGGCAAGTCGCATGACAAGATGGAGCTCGCGTACGTGCACTCCATCGCGTACGTCGTCTACGACGGTTTCGTGAGCAAAGTGCTCATGTCTGAGCTCACCGCCTTGGACAGCGCCGAATTGGGGAGGTGGAAGGAGGTGTGGGAGGAGGTCAAGATCTTGCCGACAGGGATGTGGACGGTGATGTGGGCCCGGGGTACGCTCCTTCCAAAGACACGGTAAGTCGGTTAACCTCTGCCCCCAAGTCGACATACGGTGACGATGTCGTTGTCGTGGTCACTAATGTTCGCCCTGTTTGTTGTGCTGGCGTGACAGGCTGAACGATATACTCGACAAGTATCGTCATTACAAGGCCTCAGGCGATGCTCTCCACGCCGCGCTCCTGCTAGCGATATGGTACCCAGTCGATGCCAACACCGAGGATGGGCAGAAGTGTTAAAGTTTAGAAGAAAGAAGAGGGTTGCACTAGCAAGAATGGGGATACAAATAGCAAAACCCTAGAAGAGTTGTACTCGCTATAGAGCACCCCACTACAGGCTAGAGCATAATATTCTGACATACCCCCATAGCCAAAGTGGGGTGTAATCAGCAGAGCAAGCAAAAGAAAACAAGCTCAGGGTGGATCACAATGTCACCACACATTCTGAGCACAAGTACAAGAGGTAGCAGTTTTATAGTTAACAAATGTAAGCAAAGCTAGAGGCTATCACAGAGGGCAAGTGAGGAGGAGGAGAGACTGTGGGGGAGAGAAGATGGGAGGCGACTGCTGACGCTGCAGACACACAGACGAGCTGCTGGCTCAGTGGCTACCGGAACAGCGCTCCGGACTACTGGGGTAACTGGCCCCGCGGCTAAAAGTAGCGGCAGACGAGCAACGGACCCACGGGCGACTGGCGACTACCGGAGATTGTAGCCTCCGGACTGCTGCTGCTGCTGACGACACGACGACCGCCTCCATTCAACCTCCCCCAACTGTCCCACCCCCATTTCACACACCCCCTGTTCAAACCCTAGCTCTACTCACACTCCACCCCCCTAGCACCACTCCGTACACTCCCACACATCCACCCCCCTCAGCGACAGCTGCAGCAGTGGGAGACGAAGGAGGAGGAGGAGCAGGCGACGCCACACACCCGCCACCCCCCAACCGCCACCCCCCAACCGCCACCCCCCAAACCCTAAAAACAGGGTAGGGGGGTAGGGGGGGGGGGGGGCAACGCGCGGCCCCCCCCCCCAGGGTCGCCTCGACAGGCGACGGGAGTTGGGCCGGGGCAGGTCGGGGCCGGGGCAGGTCCGGGACGGGGCGGGGCAGCAGGGGCCGCGCAAGGCTCCCCTGGGCAGCGCGACGGGGCAGCAGGGCCGCGCGACGGGGCAGCAGGGGCCGCGCGCGGCTCCCCTAGGCGGCGCGACGGGGCTGCAGGGGCCGCGCGACGGGGCGACGTGCGGGTCCCCGTCGCCCGTCGCAGCGCCTCCCGGGGGCGACGCGGCGAGTGACGGGGCAGAAACCCGTCGCGCGCCTCGGGGCGCACGGCGGGCAGAAAACCGCCGCGCGCCTCGGGGCGCACGGCGGGCAGAAAACCGCCGCGCGCCTCGGGGCGCACGGCGGGAAGAAAAACTGCCGCACGCCACAGGGCGTGCGGCACAGAGAGTAGCAGTAGCAGTTGCAGCGGAAGCAACAAGGTGGTGAGCCCACCCACAGGATCGATCCAAGGGGATCGACCTGCTCTGATAGCATGTTAAAGTTTAGAAGAAAGAAGAGGGTTGCACTAGCAAGAATGGGGATACAAATAGCAAAACCCTAGAAGAGTTGTACTCGCTATAGAGCACCCCACTACAAGCTAGAGCATAATATTCTGACAAGAAGAAGTCGGCGTCTATGATGTCGGCGATGATAGGTCGCGTGTCCATGTGCGCGGCATATGGGGAGATCGCTGCGAACGCGGCGAAGAAGGAGGGAGACAAGGAGGACAAGACGGCTATGGCGGCATGGGCGTTAGCAGCGTCCGCATGCGCTGTGTGGTGCTTCGTCGAGAACGGCGAATCCCAGGTGGCGGATGCTGTGGAGGAAGGGAAGGCGGCGGCGCTTGTGTGCGGAGCAAGCCAGGCGACCGCCGATGTATTCGGAACTGTCATGGAGGCGGTGCTGGACGTCGCGATCAACAGGGACCGCCCCATGGGAGAGGTTGCGTACAACGTCGAGCAAGCGCTGCAGAGGCACGCCCTTGACAAGGTCTACCCGGTGGGGAATGCTGGCGTCGATGCCGACGTGGTCGCTAGAGCCACGGTCGAGACCATGGCGTTCTGGGGAATGTGCCCCGTCGCCGGGCCGAAACTCAAAGCGAAGGATATCGCAGTGCCGTGCGACGCGCAGATGAAGGCCGACCTTGACAACAGGGGGATGAAGGGTCAGAGGGGCAAGAAGGGGACGAAGGCCAAGGGGGGCACGGGGAAGAAGGGGACGAAGGCCAAGGACAGCGCGGGGAAGAAGGGCCAGAAGGGGACGAAGGCCAAGGACAGCACGGCGGCCTAGTCGACGAGGGGCATGTAGCGCTAGGTCGACGGCTTGCTAGGATTGAATGATGCTTGGACTCGGTGCTGCTATGGTCGATATCGTTTTGTGTGTTTTGGCTGTCGGATCCCTTTGATGCTCGTTGTTTGTGTTTCATTGTGTGCGTGCCTGTCTACTTTACGTAGGATGAGTAATGAACACATTAGCTAGTAATGATTGTCTACTTCAGTTAGAACGACACGTGAATGCGCCGCTAGGTCAAGAACCACAGGATCATTGTGAGAAACACACAGTCGACAACTGTATCAGTATGAAACATATGCATGCTGCAACAACATCTACAACATGCAACAGCCCACAGTAGCAGGAGGCATGGGAGCATTCACGCGGTCTTCTTGCGCTTGGTCGACTTCTTGGTCGGAGCCAGCTTCCCGGCGTCATTTTCGCGGGCCAGGTCGGCCAACGTCTTCTTCATCTGCTCCTCCCAGGTGTCCGGGAACAGGTCGGCGACCCACTTTTCCGGCTTGAACCCGCGCGCCACGAACGCACAGGCGACACGAAGCTTGGAAACTTCCGTCTTGCCGAGCCTCTTGACGCCCTTACCCTGCCCGGCATAGGTCGCAACGGTGTCCGCGTTGAGCACCGTGAGGGCATCCGAGAAGGTCCCAATGCCAGGCGCCGCTATCTTGTTAAGCGCGTCGACGACGGCTTCCGTGTCGGCTTCGCCGTCGCTCCTGCGAAGCTGGCGCACCGCATCGATGACCTTCATCATGCGGCGCACCCTCGTCCCGTGTGCTCCCTGCGAGGCTCCGTCGAGGAGGGTGTGGCGGTCGACGAATCCCGGCTTGGTGAACCTGTCGCACAGACGACGGGTGTCGGCGCTGGTGCACGAGGTCCAGAGGCGCCACGTGTCCCTCACGGTCGTTGCATTCCGCCAAGGCTGCACCACGTTCAGCTCGTAGCTAGCCTCCTCGACCGTCTGTGGGGGTTTATTGGGTTTCTTGGCTCCGTCACCCCTGCTTGCCGACTCCGCGGAGCCACCGTCGCTCGGCAACTGATCGTTCGCAGATGTCGGCGCCTCCGGCATCCTACGAGCTTCAGAAACGCGGAGAGCCTCGGCGAGGCGGGTTATCTCGGCCGTGAGCGACGCGATGGTTGCGTCGCGCTTCTCGAGCTTCTCCTCGAGGTCGATCTTCTCGACCGCTGACCGCTCCCTCTCAAGCTTCAGCGTCGTTGTGAGGGAGACGACCGCGTACTGGGCGTCATGGCGGACCGATATCTCCTGCAATAGTAGGCGAATAACGGTGCAGATGAGGGGTTGTAGCGGTCACAGCGCACATGGAGACGTCGACATAAAGGATGACTTACCTCTGGCTGGATGAGGGTTGGGTCTTGCCGCTTGTTGATGGTCTCGGTGTCGGTCTTCTCGACCCTCTTCGCCCAGTGCTGGAAGAGGGGAATCCGGCAGAGCTTGGAATACTGGACGTACGGGTGCCAAGGGGTGCGGACGAGTTTCACAGCGAGGTCCTCGGCGACAATGCGGCGGAACATCAGGAGGGTGCACCAGAAATGCACGGCCGCAATGTCGGCGTTGGACCCCAGCTTCGCGAGTTCTTCCGCCTGCAATGAGACAACGGACGTGGGTAATTACCGTGGTGGATAGGACAGTAACTTGCGAGGCTTGGTCGGCACCGATAAACATACCTTCTTGAGGAGGTCGTCGACGCCGGGGAAGATGTGCTCGGCGATGAGAGCGAGAAGTTCGTCTCCCGGTTCCACCCTGCTGCGACCCAAGAAGTAGTCATGCGTGTAACCCGAAAAGCCGGCCTTCTTCATCACCACGCCGACAGGAACGGATGTGATGTAGGCTCGGGTCATCTTGTCGATAGCCCAGTGACCCAGCTCGGCTATCTCGGCGCGAGGCGTACCGTCGATGGCCAGCTCCTGCGCCCCGCCTGCCCGAGCGGCATGGACGTTCCGCTTGCAGAACACCCCGTTCGTCTTCCACATCTGCCTCGTCCATCGCTGGTGGCTGGGAGCTGAGAGTTCGCCCTGATCGGGGTCGTTGCGGGCGAAGAACAGGTGCTTCTTGTACCAGAGCTCACGTGTGCTGGTGTCGACCGGCGGAATGAGGTCAACGCCGTGAAACTGGCCGATCTGGTCGAGGACGAAGTGTAACCACAGTCCGGTCTCGCCGACGGCGCACAACTCCGCTTCGAGGTGCCGCGCCGCGTAGCTCTGCTGAAGACGCGCATCCTTCGACGTCTTCGAGTTCCGCGTGGCGACCACCATGACGACCGGCTGGTTATCCGGGTTCACCGAGGAGGTGCTCGCCAGTCGGTACAAGAAGATGTCGGGGAGCGTTATCTCGCGGATGCTTGCACCGCGCATGAGGCTGTGGTGGGAGAGCAGCGTGAGCACCTTGACGAGAAGAAACCTCCACAGCGTCTGCGAAGGTATGGTGAAATGCGGGCTCCATGCCGACGCCGCCCAAGCCGGCAGCACCCTCGTCATGATCTGGCGGAACTGTTCGGCGGTGTATGTGTCGCCGATGGTGCCGCGTCGACGGTCGGCGCAATTACTGTCGACATAACAATATAGGGATATGATTATTAGGGCGAGGAGCACAAATCGATGGCGACATAACACGGCGATGTATGCCAACTTACTTGATGTCCCTCTGATTTTTGGTGCGGACCATGACCCGCACCTCCGACCAGACCACCGAGATTTCCCGCATGATGCCCAACTCCTTCTCCTTGTAGAGCGTCGCCTCCACCCTCGCCGCCATCTGGCAGGCCTTGATGCGGCCGAGGATCATGTGCACCGTGTAGGCCTGCACTGGCGCGTTCGTCTCGGCGTCGATCTTGTACTCCCACCTCATGAACTTGATGTAGGCGCGCAGCCGCGTCACAGTGACCCGTGGGCCGTGCAGCCAGATGTGCTTCCGTTTGACCACCTTCACGTTGTCCCAATCCTTGCTCTTGTTGCAGTGGATCCAGTGCCCGATCTCGTCGACGTGCCTCGTTCGTTCCTCGATCGGCAGCTTGTCGCCTATTTCTTTGAGCATCTTCGCCGCCCACCTCTTGTAGTCGTAAATCCATGACGTGTAGGACTGGAGCGTGCTCTTACCCTCGATGGTTTTCAGGTGGCGCAACGCATCCATCACGAGCACGTCGACGCACGCGTACACCATATCTTCCTCCACGAAGTCGGCCGCCTTCCACTGTTCTCGAGGGACCGACGTGTGCAGCAGATCCTCAAGCTCGTCCTCGTCCAGAAGTTCCTCTATGAACGCACGTTCCCCCCTGAGTTTTTCTTCCAACGTGCGCGGACCAGTGCCTCGTCGGGGCCGCGGGTCGTCTTCGTCGTCCTCGTCGCTCGCCGATGAATAATCTTCCTCATCCTGGTCGCCCGATCCGTCCGGCACCGACGACGGCCCGGCCTCCCCTGCATTCGTCGGCGTCGACGTTTTGCGTGGTTTCGTGAACTCCCCTATGGGCGCGGGCGGAATGTCTTTGGTGAACTCTCCCTACGGGATTTGGGCCAGGGCGTCGAGATCGTAAAGCAGCGGCAACGTCGACGAGGGGTTACTGTTCGGTGTACGGTCTACCGGGCGGACATCCTCACCCTGGCTAGCGGGGTTCGGAACGTCCGTCATGTCGACATCGGCGGGTGGTGGGTTGGTTTGCGGCGGTGTCGAGCGAGGCTGTCCTCTGGCCATGATACGGCGACCTAGGGTCTGGCGATGGGAAGTCGGCGTGGTGAGGTCGATAAACTACTACATGCGGATTCTATGTCGGCGGTATCTGACAGGTCGGCATCGCAGACAACCCTACGAGACGACGGCGACCACGTCTGACTACTCTGACGACGCCGACATTCCGCGTCCGGATAAAATCTAAGAGCCAGCCGTCAAGTCAATGGTAAAAAAAGCTAAGGGCCAGCTTACGGATGGAACGCACACAGAATGGCAGGCAGAATGAGCGACCATTACTGGGACCACGGATTGGTATGGTCGTGAGCGACTCCGCACCACTTGGCGCTCCACGCAAACCCCTGTGCAGGACGCCGCTATGCATGTACGCTCGTGCGGCGGCGCCGTGTCCGACGTGCCACCAGGCGTGCATGGCTGCTTGCTTGAAGAGCTTCGCTCATCATGCTCTTTTCGTGGCTGCTACACGCTGGCTCTTTCGTGCGGCACGTGGCGTGGTCCCAAACTAGGTGCAGCGCGGTAGTTCGAGGGCGGGAGACACTGCCGCGTGGCACCACGATGATGCTCTTCTGGTCGACGCCGACATTCCCGCCGTCTCAGTGTCCACTGCACGTAGCCAATGATAGTGGACGGTCGGATTTCGCCTTGCGCATGTGGGCAACCGTTGGATGAATGCCGTGTGGTGCGCACCGACCTGGCCACGGTTTGGCGCGAAATTCTCCCACGCGAAGCACCCCGACCTTCCGTTCGCCCGTCGTGGCCAACCTGGCAGACCTCGGTGGCCCCGCCATCTAGGGGACTATCTCGGGCGTCCCTTTGTGGCCGCGTGGCGATCATCGCGGCCCGACTTGCCGAGCTGGGATTCTGACACGCGGCTGAGACGTCCTTCTCGGGATTGTCTCTGCTGCGATCAGAAGTTGATCATGGCCTAGGATCTACTCAGGAAGGTTCGCACGCAGAGAAGTGATGTTGGTGGGCCCTTGACCTCAATAGCAGAGTGAATGTAAATGCTTGAGATGAATAAAACATGCAAATACAGCAAATATAAATATGAGTACAGCGGAGATGAAACGACCTAGCTAGCCATGTACTCTAAGGGGTGCATTCCCTTATTCAAATACATTCCCAACCGTGCGGCGCGAACAGTTACGAAACTGTTCCCGCCGAAGCCATCCTGCCTGCAGCTGCCTGATGCTGTCTGCTCCGACGGTTCAGATGCGTCCCAACTGTCTGACGCTTCGAGTCGTTTCCAACCGTCTGACGCTTCGTGTTCATTCGCGATACTGCGTGCTTCTCTTTGCTGCGG